AAAGAAGCCTTTTCTAAAGGCAATTTTAGCTTCAGGCTCATTAGAAACTTCTGACCCTCCCTTTAACTACCTAGAATAGTGGTTTTCAACCTTCCTAATGCTGTGACCCTTTAATACAGTTCCTCATGTTGTGGTGACCCCCAACCATAAAATTATTTTCGTTGCTACTTCATAACTGTAATTTTGCTACTGTTATGAATCGTAATGTAAATATCTGATATGCAGGATGTATTTTCATTGTTACAAATTGAGCATAATTAAAGCATAGTGATTAATCACAAAAACAATATGTAACTATATGCGTTTTCTGATGGTCTTAGGCGACTCCTGTGAAAGAGTCTTTTGACCCCCAAAGGGGTCGAGACCCACAGATTGAGAACCGCTGACCTAGAAGAACTGGAATTAACAGAGATCATCTCTTTTGACCTATGTATAGGGCAGGACAAACTGCTGTTTACTAAATAGAAGTTCACTTTATTTATCATCCTGCAGGACACTTTGAAGCCCCTAACGCATTTTACCTCATCTCTAGTTCCAATGTCTTACCATGTTCCATTTCTATCTCTGAACCTCTCCTGCATGTGGCCTCTCTGACTCTCATATATGTAAGGTTCCCCTACATATGTGTATATTACATTTAGTTATTTACTCTTGTTAATGTGTCTCGTGTCTATCTGATGTTAGAACAGCTACAAGAACTTTAAGATAGAGATAACTTTGTTCCTCCACTACACTACAAAACCATCCTCCCTGGGTTGGAAAAAGATGTCCACAGGTAAGTGTCTCACTGGCGGCACTCTTCAACAAAACCACTAAGCATGGGGATGCTGGGTGAAGCTGCTGTCCTCTGGGTGCTGCTGGTCCCTGCACTACAGGAACCTGGTCACTGGAGAAGTCTCCCATGCTGCAAGATCCTGCCAAGAGGGTAAACAGAAACCAGGAAGAAACAAAACCTTTCCTTCTGTACCCTCTGCTAACAAAGTTTAACATTGTACCACTGGCAAAAGAAAATAATTAAAGGGTCTATGTCTATTGTCATAGAACAAGAAAACAGTGAATTTGGAGCTAAGGGTCAATAAATCAATTTGACTACTTAGCTTCTATATACACTCTTCTACACATATATGAAACACATATGGATACAGCTAACCTTTTTACAAGAACTTCTTGCCCTTTCCCAAAATTGACAAAATGCACAGTTGCACTTGTGCCATCACTGATTACATAAATAACTCTTCAAATTCAAATTCCCTCTGAAAATTCTATTACCTTAGATTACATTGTAAAGTTACTTCCCAATAACTTGTATATAAAATAAAAATATGAAGGGGAGAAGAAATGTTTAGCACATACATATATAACAAGCAAGTAATCAACTTAAAAATATGCAAAAGTACTATAGTTTTTGTTTCTGTCATGGATCACAAGGCTGTAAGTGATATCTATGGCTTTCTTCAGCCATTCCAACTTCATATTTCCACTACCCTCAGGCAAAACCTTTGTTGGTCTGGGCTCATTGCATATATGAGTGATCCAAACCTTTATTTCAAAAAGAGCTGTATTTAATTGTCCTATTTCCATTTTGGTTGCTACATTCTCTATTAGCTTTACCATTGGCCTCATAGTATTCCTTGCTTTCATTGTGTATAAGCAAAACAATTTCTACTTGTTAATCTGGACCAATCACTCCATCCAATAGATTTTTAGAGAAAGAACGTGAAAGGAAAGGAGGGAGGAGAGAGAGAGAGAGAGAGAGAGAGAGAGAGAGAGAGAGAGAGACATCTATGTGAGAGAGACACATCAACTGGTTGCCTCCTACACGTGCCCCTGGGGCCAGGAACAAACCTGTAACTAAGGTATGTGCCCTTGACCAAAAATTGAACCCATGGTCCTTCAGTGTTCAGGCCAACACTCTAACCACTGAGAAACACCAGATAGAGCACCAATAGATTTTTTTTTCTTCCATGTTGGTTGGATGATTTGGGCCCAAAATGTTCAGGAGGTAGTCTCATCATCCATTGAGTGGACATACTTTTTGTCATCTGGTATAAGATGTCTTCCCTTAGGAACTAAAATCTCAAAGTCACACAGCAAAAAGATGCCAAAGTGGAGATCTAAAAGTCTGTTAGTGGATTATCAGGCATAATAATAAGAGGAGCCAATCCCACATCCACCTTTTGATTTCCAGACCCATGTTTGATGGATTTGTTGTACACATAAGGGTCTCTGATTCAAAGCACATGCTGAATCCTGTTAACAAAGCCCCATCCTGGCAGGATATTTTCTCCCAACTGACACTGTAACTCCCTCGCCAGTAAGCTACTCCACCTTTCAATTAGGCCAGATGCTTCAGAGTGGTAGGGTATTTAGTAAGACAAGTTAATCACATGAAAAGTCAGAATTATTCATTTCATTAATAAAATAACTCAGTATCTTCACTTTATTCTTATAAAATTTTATTGTAGACATCATCTCATAAAAATTTTTATTATATAGGATAACAAATCCTATATAATAAAAGGGTAATAAGCAAATTGACCCTAACAGCAGAAAGACTGGGGATGACTGGTCACTATGACACACACTGACCACCAGGGGGCAGACGCTCAATGCAGGAGCTGCCCTCTGGTGGTCAGTGCGCTCCCACAGGGGGAGCTCTGCTCAGCCACAAGCCAGGCTGATGGCTGCTAGCACAGCGGTGGTGGCGGGAGCCTCTCGCACCTCCTCAGCAGCACTAAGGATGTCCAACTGCAGCTTAGGTCTGCTCCCTGCTGGTAAGTGGACATCCCCCGTGGGCTGCCAGGCTGCCAGAGGGATGTCTGACCGCCAGCTTGAGCCCAATCCCCCAGGGAGCGGGCCTAAGCCAGAAGGTGGACATCCTCTGAGGGGTCCCAGACTGCAAGAGGGCATAGGCTGGGCTGAGGAACGGCCCTGAGTGCACAAATTTTTGTGCACTGGGCCTCTAGTTATTAATAAAAGGAAGGAGAAAATGGAGGGAAAGCGGAAAACTACTTGGATTTCTCAGGCAGAGCTAGGTATGGGAGTAAGGATGTGATCCCCCTGCTGCTTCAGGTCCTTGGTGTAGAACTTATTTTTTCACACTCTGCTTGAGTTCAAAATCAAAAGAGACTGCTAGTTCTCCTTCTCATAGCAATCTACATAAAGTGCCCACCATAGTCCCTTTGGGCAACTAGCTGAGCCAATGACAGCGAGTCACTTGAAATAGTCAGATATAGAAGAGAGTCTGATCCAAAAATAGAAAGGAAGGAAGAAGGGAAAGAAACGTTAATTGAATATACATTTCTTATGCATAATTCTATGTTTCTAACATCCTTTTTGCATGCTTATAACCTTATAGAATGACACAAACACATGTATTACTGTTGGGTCTGAGTCCCTCTGCCAGGGGCTGGACCTCTTTGGACACTGGATATTGGACAGAAAAGACAGAAGAAGTCATAGGCATATAAGAGAGTCTTTATTGCAGCCCAAGTAGCCATTGCTACTAAGGAGCCATTAGACAAAGCAGTTCTTCAAAGTAGCCTTACAGAGGCAGCTCTTACTAATACAGTAGCAAATACAGGAGCCATCCTGGTAAAAACAGCCAACACTGCCTGGTCAGTAATCCATCTTCCCCACAACACAGCCCCACACTGGCTGGTCAGTAACATACCTAACTTAGACAAAAGAGGCTTCTTGCCAAAATAATGACAGCAGTCTTTTGGGTCAGTGTATAGCTTGCTGCATCCTTGCTTTTGCACCTGCATCTGGGAAATTAGCCTTGATTAGGATTCCCACACTCAGATTAGCCTTGAGCATCCAGTGTACTCTGGACAGGGTCCCCACACTCAAATTGGCCTTGGACACCTGGCATACTCTGAATAGGGTTCCCACCATTACATATAACCGTATCACTATGCCTTAAAAATTACTCTTCATCTCCTGTGCTGCCATTTGGCTAAGATGACCTATTGGTCACAATCTACTTAATATCTTTATATGTAGGGGGCTCCTATGCATGTCCCTTTTTATACATTACAGTGTAAGCTAAATAGTAGATCCTCCCCCTTCTCTTCTTCCTCCAAATTATTTGTTACTTGCCAAGGCTTTAAGAACACAAGGACTATAGCAGCTTCTCATACAGTTCTTTCCATCCTAGACAAAAATGTTTAAACTAGATAATAAATTTAAATTGGGTCCAGTGAACATCTACTATCCACTGCAATTTTAATCAATATTTCTAGCAGAGTTTGGCAATGCTAAACTTCCTATGTGATTAATTCTGACAATGTTAACATATCAGAATCCTTCTCTAATAGTCCAACACTAAATCATACAAAATTAGAATGAAGGCAAGAGAAAATGTCTGTAGCTGGAAGAAAGCAGCAAAATGGATTATACCCACAAATTTCTGGTGTAGGTTTATAAAATTTAAGATACCAAAAGACCAGAAAGCTATGTGTATGACTGAGAAAAAGTCTTTGGACAAATAATGATGAACTCTATACCTTTATTCCCTTTCTACACTGTTCTTAAATAGTTGCCAGAATTAACATGACCATGACAGTTTTCAAAGCCCTTCACGCATATTATCAATCTCTTATTGTTGACCAATAATTTTTCAAAATATCTGACTAGATGTACTTAAACTCAGAGAAAATATTCTGACACATTGTGACTGGCACAGAGAGACCCGGGGGGAAATATTACCCCCCAAAAATTATCTGAGAATGACCAAGTAGACATGGAGGCAAACTTATAAGAAAATAACTTAAGGGGATTACCTTTTGTTTTCTGGATTGAAAGCGAGACAAAATAATGAATAAAAACCCACAGAGTAAATCCCTTAAAGCAGTCAACCTCAAGGCAAGTAGGATTATTAGGTGATAGGAACACTGTCTCCCTCATCATTCTAGAACACTATTTATTATTATGCAGTTTCTACAAAGAGCAAAAAGCTTTTGAAATAATGTTTATCAGGCATGGAATTATGGAATTATTCAAAGGACCTGGGTCTGCATAACTCTCTTTGCCTCATTTGCTATCATATAGCATAAGATCTTTAAAGATACCACAGGAACGGATCTTAAGTCTCTGAAAACTCCGCTGAGTGGTTTGTGCGCAGCTCCCCCTGCAGCCTCGGGCACTGTGTCACTCAGAGCACAGAAGTACACAGCTGAGTCGCTCCAATGGGCCGAGGGTTTCCTCAGGATGAAGGAAGATTCATTCTTCTTAAATTCAGCCTCAAAGCCTTTAATGCCTTGAACCAGGGTCTTTCCTGAGAAGTTCTTGAGGAGCAGCTGGAGGCCTTGGCTGGGGTATTGGACGTACCAGAAGAGAGAAGGAGTGGCAGCATAGACATACGTGCACCTCAGCTCCAGTGAGGCTCCTTCAGAGACACTGACGTGGTGGTCAGGCTGGCTCACTGACTGGGCTCTGGCATCTTCTGCAAATCAATGTGTCATTAGTAAAAGCAGTACCGTTTGCTAGGAGAAGTAAGTACTTCAGGTCAGAACCTGTAGAACTATAGACTATTATGAAATTTTACTCACTCAGGACAAATATCATCCCCACTATTGAGAAAAGCAAGGGTAGCATGGCTGAGTAGTAGAAACGCTGTGGACTCCTTTCTGGAAAAATCTCCCCTGAGCAGGCAGGAAAGTAGCTGCAGAAACGAAGCCCTTGCAAATAGGAGGTGTAGGGAAGGGCAGGCTTAAATGAGCTTGGAGCTTTCTGACGTCTGATTCTAGTCACCTGTCTCTGTCTGTAAAGTACTCAGCCAGCTGCAGGGAGGGGAAACTGAGCAGAAGATACTGATCCACAAGATCTGTAGTTTGCACAGCATCGCCCTCTGGTGGTCAGCTTCAGAACCAAGGGTCCAGAGAATTAATTAGTGTTTTCCTTCTGTTTTCTGAACTATATCAAAACTTTCACACATATGTTTAGACCTCCCAAATTATAATGGTGCATTAGTCCTAGAGTCCTCTGCAAATGAGGTGCCACATAAAAGTAAACTAACAAGTTACTTCAATGAGAAATCAGGATCTGAAAAGCTAATCTGATGTGGAATTCAAGTTCATGAGTCTTTGGAATCAGACCAATTACCTCAGACTGAGTTTTGGATGGCCCAGTGCTGCATGTGGCATGAGGTATTTCCCTTGCCTGGTGCTCATGCACCAAGATGCTCATGAACCCTAGAGGAAAGCAGAGAGCCTATAAAATGGGAGCAGTGCTGCTATGTGGCAAAGAGTAACTCTGGATGGGAAGACATGTCCTGAAGGACATACTTCCACACCAAGAAAGCTGTCTCTGAAAACCTGAGAATAGAGAAGTTCTCTGCTTTCTCTGTGGCTAATAGGGCTCTTTGACAAAAATCGAAATATTTATTTTCTTTGCTTCCAGGAGCATGAGCCCAGCCCACTTTGGGGGTTCTTCATTCACTTATTTATTCCTGTTAAGATTGCTTTCCACATAAAAGATTTAGTAATGCTGTCAATTTTTTAATTTATAGTCTATACATGTGAACTTCTGAGTCCTAGGGCTATATACTCACTCCCATCTCTTCTAGGTGTCCTCCTAACTAAAAGAATAAAAATGTAAAATTGAATATACCCAAATTCATAAAGGAAATATTTATGCCTATTTTTAGAACACAGAAAGTAGATGGGCTCATATTGAGGACTAAAGTTAGGACAGAAAAGAAACATAATAAAAAAGCTATGAGGAGTCATGCCTGCTGGCTTTCAGGGTGGTGGTCATTTCAACTCCTATTAGTGTTGTCGGGCATTGGCAAACTCCAGCATGTACTGAGTCAAAGGCCACAGGGTTTTTTGGTGCCTTGATACAGTGCTGTTTCCTTTGAACTGGAAGAATGCAAAGGAATTCTCCAGGGTTGTTTGGGGGGGGAGGGGGAGTTAGTTTGATTTTGTTTTAAATATATTTTTATTGATTTCAGAGAGGAAGGGAGATGGAGAGAGAGATAGAAAATCAATGATGAGAGAGAATCATTGATTGGCTGCCTCATGCACGCCCCCCCTTCCCCTACTGGGAATCGAGGCAACAACCCAGGCATGTGCCTTTGATTGGAATTGAACCTGGGACCCTTCAGTCCCCAGGCCGATGCTCTGTCCACTGAGTAAAACCAGCTAGGGCGAATTCTCCAGTTTTTAACGGTGGTAAAAGAAGCATCTTATAGTTGAAGAAGAATAAGATCATAAATGGAATGTTCTCCTTTAAGAATTTTGACAGGACTTTAGATGGTGTGGCTCAGTTGATTGGAGCATTGTAACCTACAGAAAGGTTGCAGGTTCAATTCCCAGTCAGGGCACATACCCAGGTTATGGGTTCAGTCCCAGTTGGGGTGCATATGGGAGGCAACTAATTTATGTTTCTCACATCGATGTCTCTTTCTCTCTCTCTAAAAATCAATAAAAACATATCCTCAGGCAAAGATTTTGACAGATGTGGACGAAAGGGGCCACAGGCTAACCTGACAAGCTCAGGGGTGGCCAGCATGGTGGTTGTGCAAACTCAAAGACCTAAAACAACCACAAAAGATGGCCTGAAAATTAAATATTTAACTACAAACAGGTTATGGTGAGCAGTCACGTCCTAGGCCATTATTATCCCTGACAAAGATCAACTTAGATCTTTAGTGGTCGCATTTGTCTTTTTGCCTCTAAAATAACATATCTGTGAAATGTCTTGGTAACTTGCAACTTCCCTTGTTTCCAGATCCTTCAGGGCACAACAAATGGTACCAGGACATTCCCTCAGTGTTATTGTTATCAACTGTTAATTATGTTAAACTATCCTGTATCCATCTGTGTAAAAGAAGCATATGTCCATCATTTCACTTTTTATCCTATCCCAGAGGGTTCCCCGCTTTGCTTTATCCCACCTCCTTAATCGATCACCAATGAATTTCATGTAACCCATCTACATCCCTTTCCTTTGATTGCAATGTATAAATACAGATGTAACCTGCCATTCTCCGGAGCATTATCTCAATTCATTGAGGTTCTCCTTCCCAGCATATGTCGACAGTGTGGTCAAATAAACTCACAAAAATTCTTTACAGGTATCAATGGTTTTTTACGTTAACACATGGTTATAAGAAATAATAAGAAATACTTATATTGATTGCCAGAAACATTAGTCTCCACAGACAGCCTAGAACACCATAAACCATGGTCCATTAAAAACAAGAAAATATAAAACATTTTTAAAAATAGATAGAGGAGGAGAAAATTAAAACAAAACAACTGTTTTAGGTACTGAAAAGACATAGTCTTTGACTAGTCGTAGCATATCTATCGTGTTCTTAGAAATTGATGCATTATTCAAAAAATTTCAGAATTTTAGCAAAAATTTTAGTACTTAAGGCATGGGCAAAAACAAGAAAGCATTCTCATTTTCAAGTGTACTCTAAAAATTATACAAAAGCAGGCATATTGTGGAGGGGAGTCAAAAATTGGAGGAGCAACCTACAGAAGGATGAATTTCACACTTTGGGGGCAGGGGCTTTTCTGTGATGTCAGACTGCTGATGGCACGGTGGCAAACCACAAAGCTAAAACTGAAAGAAACACCCTGATGCGAAACATGGAGAACAGATTATGTGCCAGGCTAATCCCAAAACTGGACATGCATGGGGCAGACCCTCAGCAGGAGAACAAAGCTGCGATGTGAACCACTGTCCAAGTCTCAGACTAACTTCTGAGTGGACCTGTGCAGGACAGACTCAAACCAATGTAGCAGCAGTTTCAGAAACTGACCTGAGGTTAGACCCACCCAAACAAGTATCTTACTAATCACTGAGCTAAACATGATGGAGAAAGACCCAAATCAACATAACAAAAGGTTAGAACTGAACTGAGATTTGAACAACCACTCACAAAACGAGAGACACACTTCTTTCTTATTTCTTCCTTTCTTTCTCTTCCTTTCTTTCTCTTTCTCCTTCTTCTTCTTATTATTATTATTTTTTCTTCTTCTTCTTCTTCTTCCTCTTCTTCTCCCTCTTCTTCTTCTTCCTCCTCCTTCTTCTGAACTAAACTAGTTTGACTTCCTGTTAAAACAAAAATCTCCAGATGATTTTTTTAATAAAAAAATTTATACTACATAAACATTTAAAAGGTTTAAAATGAATTACAAAATTACTCAGCATACAAATATTTTTTAAAAAAAAAACAAAATTCAATTGGGTAAGTTTGAAGAATTAATTGGCTTTATCGAACAATTCATGAATTGAGGAGCATCTGACGAGGCAAATAGAGAGGTGCGCTAAGACTTATACAAAATGGAAGGTGTTTACAGCAATAAACAGAGAAGGAAAAGAACTGTATTGGCAAAAGAGAAGAAATAAATGTTTCCGGCAGAGTCAGCTTTCTTGAGTAGCAGGAAGTGCAAGGGTCCTATCATGCAAAGCTCCTCACTAGTGTTGATCAGGAGATTCCAGACTGATTGGTTCAAGGTCACACTCCAGGGAAGGCTGAAATTACAATTAAGTTTTGGTTTGTAGTCCTGGGGGCAAGCAACTTCACTTTTGACCTGCTGTTTCTTTTAACACAAAGAACCAGAAAAATTGACTAATATGTATCTAAGTATAAGATAATCAACAGATGCGATTGGCAAGATGATTAAGATGCTAAAACTAATAGAGAAGAGGTAAAAGAAACTCTTTTAAATATAGTCCATGAAGTAAAAGGAAGCACACTTGAAATGACCAAAATAATATAAAATGGAGCCAAATCTGTCATCCCAGAGGAACTCTTTGCACATCTTATGCCTCAAGTCTTCAGAATGTTAAAACGGGTAAAATAACTTTTAAACTGGGTATAAGGTCACCCTGTTTCCCAATGACTTGTTTACAAGGATAACAAGCAAATGGTTATGTATGACTACTGGGCTGGTGACTATAGGCCTGAAAAAAGTTTTTTAATAGTTTAGAATTAACATCACTATGTTATGTCATCTACGCCAGTAGAAATGGCTTCCTTCCATGATGTCATTATTTACTCTTCCCATTCCCATAAATAACCATTGACTTTGACTCCTAATTGAAACACTATTTGGGCTTCTGGCCTGAATCAGGGTATTCCTAGTAGCTATTTTTATTGATCTTAAATAAATGCTTGTTACCTCTCACTTTGGAAGGCTTTTTATTTTAGGTTAACAAAATTAATGATAAGAAAAGAATTCTTGATAAAGAAGTAGAACCTACAAAAAGAAGCAAATGGAAATTTTAGGACTAAAAATACAATAATGAAATAAAATCTCACAGTAAGAGCTCAATAGTAGAATAAAGATGGTAGAGAAAAGAGTATGTGAACTTCAAAATAGATCAGTATAAATTATCTAATTCAGCAATTACCAACCAAGTACGACTCTGCCTCTCCACAGGAAGACATTTCCCAACTCTAGACACATTTTTTTTGCCACAACTTGAGGGCAGAGTACTGGTACCTAGTGAGTAGTGACCTAGGTACTTCCCAAAATTCCTCAATTTATAGAACAGCCTCCCTCCCACCAGTAAAAATTTATTTAGCCAAAATATTAATAATGCCAAAATCAAGAAACTCTGATCAAACTTAAGAA